ATTATGAATTTTGTGTTTGCTATATGTGAAAGTTGCTTAAATAATTATAAGTAGTATGTAGGGCTGGAAATATTGGATTCCCTGGCAGACGTTATGGTACTGCACAATTCAGATTTACTAAAATTATACTTTGTTTATTTAATTCACTAGAGATCTGGTGAGTGAGATGCACCAATCCTAGAACATGGTTTTCTAAGATAGGGCCATCCTTTATCTTAGAAGAACATTTAAACATTTTGTAGTTTTTTTTAAATAATTGAGGTGTTCGCAAATAGTTTATGCACATTTCAACTAACTCTGTCATTGAAATTCGAATATATTAGAAAAAATCACCTATAATTTTTTTGTCTATAATGAAAATTGAACTTGACGTTTCATAATTTTATACCAATTTCATTAACCAATTAGCCATCATCACTCTAACAAAAACATCTTTTAGCGGTAATAAATAGACACATTAATAATGAGTGTTAAAGTCTTTATCGGCATTAGTTAAGTGTCATTAGATTCCATGTCGCTAAAGGCTTTAGGGATATGTACAAAGAGTATTAATTGCCGCTAAAAATACATATTTAGCGATAATTAAGCTATTATCGTTAATTAATTACCGCTAAAGATCATTTTTTTTTATGTAGTGCATGTTAAATCAAGAGGATTCAATGGTTCATACTTCATTTACATTTTTTTGGCACAATTTGATCAAATATTACTCATTGTACTATTTACTATCAATTATCAGATGGAGTGTTTTTCTATGACAAAAACTATAAAGGAATCTCTTTTAGTATATTGTGATTTGTTTGTTGTGTCGTAGACAAAACATGGAGATTTGAATATGGTAGTCCCATTTGCGTGCCATGTTCTCTTTTTTTTCTTAAAAAAATAAAAAATTCTTACTCGGTATCTGAGTACTCAAACTTCAAACCTTTTGGTTAGGAGTAGAGGTTCCATTGTCCCACCACAATCCAACAAAATTTAAATTCTCACATGGCAAGATAACACTTTAGATATGATTTTTTTTTCATTCTCATGACTCAAATTCTTTACGAACATTTTGACAAGTTTAATTGCGTCCTCTAACAATGATTATAAGATGAGTTAAATATAGTTATACTTTAAAGAACCATTATTTGTTCGTATTGTTAAGCATTACCCTTTTATTTCGTTAGTTCGATCGAATGAATTCTTAAAATTATTTTTTATGTAATTTTAAAATTCTAAATTAAAAAGTTCGTCAAAAACCTAATGTACTAACTATTCAATTTCACGTTCAATCATTCTATTAGGAACAGAAACATATTCCTAAATCAATTTAATTTATAAAAATTAAATAACATATTATATATTTATTCGTTTTCGTTTGATATAAACGCTCGGAATAACGGTGTTAAAATAGTTAACAGTGGCAGACGATGAAATCGTGAATTGATTTCCCAAAATAGACCAACCGTTGAATCCCCCGCCTGCATTTACCATTTCTCTCTCTCTCATTCTCTTTCTCTTTCTCTTTCTTCCCTTCGTTGTCCCCCATTTCTCATCTTCCTCATTTCTCAAGAATAACAGGGGGATCACGACCACTTTTGGGAAGAAATTTGTCAACAACAAGAAGAAGATATTTGCCGCATTTAGATAATATCATATTTGTGAATCTTTGAGGTAAAAAAATATCTTCCTTTTCCACGCTTAGTCAATCTCGCAAGTAGTCAGATTCTTGAATTATCAGCATATTGTTTCGGAACATTTAGTTGTTGTTTTCAAGATCAGGGAAAAAAATTATCTGGGGGGAAACGATTGTAAACCCTAGTTCTTTCGATTTGGGGAAAATATTGGGGGATTTGAGTCCGACCCAGATGACATGAGGATTGGGAGGAGTTAATTTTTGTTGAGATTTGATTGCCCATGTATGGATCCGTCATTGTCGACTTGGGTAATCTTCATATTGGGGGTCTTCTTCTGTTTATTTAGTCTTCCTGTGCAGTCGCAGGGAAATGTGAATTCCCCTAATTTACA